GTTCATCCAGTCAGTGCCAAATCCAACAGCTGAGCAGATTGAGTTCAGATTAATAGGCTGGGCTGTGAGCGTGGCTGCAAGTCTGACTGTCACCACACATGAATTCAAATGTGTTTGTTCAATAATTATTCCCATGCTATTTTTGTCTTGAAAGAGCCATGCTGAACCGACTGTCTCCATGGATACAGATGGAAGAGGATGGGGGGTTTTTTCGCATGCAGATAGATGAATGTTTATCGGGGTATCAGAGTGTTTTGATTATGTAAGGATGTTTTCTTTAGGCCATAACACAAACTCTGTTCACATACACTTGAGCTGTGCATTGTTGTTTTGACAAGTGTCATTTGCCTTCAACAGTGCATTTTAGGATAATGACGTAACTTCATTGTCACCTGATTAACTGCAAAAGCATATTGTGTGTTTAAAAGAGAATACATGACTGTAACTACAGTCAAAACCTTTATGAGCTATAAATGACGTTTAAGACCGTCTAAAAGCCTCACACACATATTAGATAATGTAATTAACACCACTGGCATCATGCCTCCTCAGCTGTTGGCTCTTACTGACAAGTATTCAAATGCCCTTCACTTCCGGAAATAGTTTTGCATTACAATCTAGCTTGATAATAGGGCTGGGATTTGATAGATCTCCTGTTTTGTATCAATTTTAAACGCTTTGGAATTTTGATTTGATTCATTCCCAGTTCATTAGGTCATATTTCAGTTATAATGTCCATTTTACTTGAATATGAAATAAAAATGTTCTCAGCTAATGCTTTCAATTATACAGGTTACCTTCCAACTTGATGCACTGGATATATAACACAAACGCAGTTCAGTTGTTATTTAACAGCTGCAACCTCAGTGAATCAAGTGAAGTAAACTACATTTTTCTGAAAAACTTACTAACAATGTGTAATTTTTTTATGAAATATAAATTAAAACATTGAGCGCTTCTTTTTTTTAAATTCCATGGGAGCATATGAAGTTTGTGATTCATTATAATGAACGGGTAGTCATTTGTTTTTTAATTGGGCAACACTGGTTGTGCTGTATGGTTTTCTATGCCGGTATTGACGATAATCGTGATATTCAAATAATGAAATATCATTATCATGTTAATTAGGCGTGTCGCAATATACTGGTATTGGCCATATTTAAAAATGAATAGTAGACTTAGGATAATATGACAACATAATCTAGCGCCAGCGCCGTTATGGAGCGTTAAACTCTCACGTGTGATTTTGTTACATTCATACTCGACACCAGATGGCGCCCTCTCGCATAAAGCCCACAACTGAGACTCATAGGAGTAATAAAACAACTGACTTTGAGGAAATCCCTTATATGGACAAAGGAATCCAGCTGTCGCTGTTTCTGAATAAAGCACAGAAAGAAATGTTTTGTCTGATGAAACATGACGAGAATCAGCTCTCGATTACAGCAGCATATGGTTTATCTGCGTTCTTCAAGCCATCTCAGGTATTTTCATATGGATAATGTATATTTATATTGCAATGCTGATTGACACAGCCTTATAAAATAAGAATCAGTTCTCAGGAGGAAGTTATTTCAAACACTTGATAGACGCCGCTATAATGCAAGTTTGGAATAAAAATATGTAGTTATTCTCATAAGTTGTACTACTTTGACACTGTACTAAACTAAACACGGTTAGCATTTTAGTCTTTTCAGTTTAGTGTAATTGTTCCTTTTGTATGCAATGGTGTGTTTTTTGGTCAAAAAAGAAAATAAAGATTAATTTGACTGATACTTTTAAGTTTTCAAGATTTCTGTAGATATCATGATATATTGTTATTGTGAATTTCTGAGGCCTTGATAATCCTGTAGTGAAAAATCTGATATCGTGTCAGCCCTAGGTTTGTTTTTTGGACCGCAAAGACAATAGTTTTTTTTCTTGCTATTATTTCAAAATACACTGCCTTTTTACTTGGATCAAATTAAATTCAAACTGGTAATTTGGGTAAAATACATCTTCTTTTAATCGTGGAATCATAGGAATCGAGATGGCAATCAGAAACAAAATTTATATTTTACTACTAATTTTAGTTCTATATTTTACTCATACCACACATGAGAAAACTTACTCTGGTCGTGCCTAGCCACGAGTCATTCTGCATGCATTTATTGTTAGTCAGATTGTTAACATTGCTGCTGGTGTGTTTACATATACTTGAAGGGGACAGAAATAACTTAAGATGGATCATGGCTATTCATTGTATTCACAATCAACCTGCTGAAAGCTCATTTCCTGTTAATGCATAATTTCCCAAACTCTTTTGACCTCAACCAATCAAACTGACAAAAAGCAGGTGTGAAATTCTCCCTATGCGTGTTTACCGTAAGAGAAATGTTCTATGGCAATGATGAGAGATTTATTGAGCGAGACAGGTGTGTGTATATAAGTATATAAATATCAACGTATTTAGGAGGGTCTTGACGCACTGCCAAATCTTCTGACCTTTGACCCGTAGAGATGAATCCATGATGACGCAAGAGACAGAGTCATTAGTGAAAGCTGAGGGTGCAAGAGATGGCTCTATTTGCATGTATGTCTGTATGTCTTTCAAGTTAAGTTAAGAGGAATGCTTTGATGTGCCTCGCCATGGATTGACCTCATACTGTAGCCAGACATACTGGGACATGAACAAGTGTATTCCCAGCAGGTGCATGTCAGGACATCTCATCCTCAAGAGCACAAGTCACAGATTCTTGTGTAGTGAATATGGCCAAGTTATTTAAACATCTATGTTTATGTAATGTAATAGCTCATCTAGAAATCAGATTTTCATAAGGAACAGACTGCTGTGCACAAGAAATTCAATTAACTTTATGACACTTTAAAGGCACTGAGTGGGCACACTTTAACTTCTATAATTTAAGGTACATATAGTCTATATTAATTTTACATATTTATTATTAATGTTTTCTGTTACTGATATTGCATTGTTTATGCACTGAAAAAAAAATGTTTTGAAACAATTTTCTATCAGACATTTGAGGTAGAAACATTGAAAGAGTATTTTCTTGTAAAACATGCTCCAATAATCTTTACTTACAACTTTCGTTACAAAAAAATCATTTTTACAGTGTGTCTGTCATAGAGACCAGCTGATGAAAATCTAAAAACATTAGCAGATGGACTATAGGGGGGAAAAAAAAGTTTTTACAGTGCATTCATTATTTTATCTTAATAAGATTTACAGAATTATTCAGACAGATGGATAAATATATTCATATGAATTATTCTTGCTTCTTAATCAGGGGCCTTCAACACAGTAACCATTGACTTCCATAGTATTTTTTCCATACTATGGACGTCAGTGGCTACCGTCAACTGTTTTGGTTATGAACATCATTCAGAATATCTCTTGTGTTCAACAGAAAAAAGAAATGCATACAGATCTGGAACAACTTGAGGGTAAGTAAATGATGACAATTTTTTTTTTTTTGTGAACTATCCTTTTAAGTAAATTAAATAATGATTGAAGGATTGACTGAATACTGGAAGGCTAATAGCTGATACAAAATTGGGCTCTTCTATAAGACAAATACAAAAATATAGAAGTTTCTGTAGGATCGTTCTACCTCATCATGCCCACTGTCTCTCACTCAATCCTGTCAACTGCACTGCCCACCATCCCACACAAAATAAACAGCCAAAACACTACTGGCCACTGAGGGGAAAGGGAGAAATAATATGCTATATTGCATTAAGATTCCTCATAAGCATGTGTGTGTGTGTGTGTGTGTACTGGTATTCACTACGTACCAAATGTCCCACAAGTATAGTAATACCAGTAAATTTTTACCTTGTGGGTACATTTTTTAGGTCCCCATGAGGAAGCAATCTTATAAATCTTACAGAATGAAGTGTTTTGAAAATCTAAAAATGCAGAAAGTTTCCTGTTAGGGGTAGGTTTACGGGTAGGGTTAAGGTAAGGGGATAGAAAATACAGTTTGTACAGTATAAAAACAATTATGCCTATGGAATGCCCCCATAATGATAGGAATACCAGGAATAGTTTGTGTGTGTGTGTGTGTGTGTGTGCGTGCGTGCGTGCGTGTGTGTGTGTGTGCGTGTGTGTGCGCGTGTGCGTGTGTGTGTGTGCGTGTGTTTGTTTGAGAGCAACAGACTGGGCCTTTGGGCTGATATTACAAGTTCAACACTCATAACACACTTCAAAAACATAATGTTCTCCTTTTCTGGTCAGAGTACACTATAATTGTATTAATTTAATTAAGGAGACAACATCAGGTGAGTCTGTTTCACCCTCGTTTTCTATAAGTTGTCTTTATAGAAGAACATCTCTCTGAAACGGTAAAGCCATATGGCAGAAAGAGAGGCACCATGCAGCTGTGAAGTCTAGTTGCGGTATATGCACCCATATGTGTGTGTGTGTGTGTCATTGTGAGTGTCGCATAATCTTTTCATCTAACAGGTGCTCATTGCAGTATTTGGTGGGTTCTCTTTGTGTGCTTTTGCACGAATTCACAATATGTTAGTATTTGTAGAAGAGAATATTAAACAGCCTATCCTTGATGCTAAAAATGGATGTATTTTCTACATTGAATAAATGAATAGCCTACCTTTAAAAATGTGACCATTTCATGCAAAATATATAAAAAACATTCGTAAATTAATGTTTTTTATAAACTTCTTACAATGTGTGGAGACGCCTTATTAATCCATTATGATTTTACAGTTCTGATAATAATTGTAATAGCCTAACTGTTGCATTCTTTGGATGAAGACAGTCTAACAATGTGAATCAGTTTTAATTTTGTCAATGTATCAAACGTGTTATTTTATATTGTTGTTTTTAATTTCCTCTAATTAATGTTGGAGGTGGGTGTCTAGAATTCTTTTGCTTAAAGGCTCTCTTGGTGCGTGCGTGTTTTTGTGAGCGTGCAGCGTGATTGCCAGGAAGAGGCTGAGCGCACGAGCGCGCGCGCGTATTTAATTGAGTGAGTTGCGTGAGTCTGCACGCGCTCTGCTGTCACAAACAGAAGATGTTTGACAAGCTCACCAGAGATACAAGCGCTCATTTCTAACCATTTCAGTTGTTTGTTCCGGTCGCGTTACATAAAGGTAAGTAAAGTTGGTTGTCTCTCATGTTTTTGCTCTTAATTAGAAGCAATTCTATGCCGTAATGGCATCTATGCTTTATAGTGAGGCGTGTTAGATTATGTGTAACGCTACTGCTCTCAGGCAAGATTACTCCGCATGACCACAATAATATCGCACTACAAGGACACCTGTGTCTGATTAATTCTGGTATTAACAGTAATTTCCTGGAGTTCAAACAAGTTTGTGTTGACAAAAACAAACCTTACAAAAAGCTTGATTTTCACGCTGTTTCTATAAAGAATGGTTCTTTTGCTATATAGTGTAATATAGGGATCAGGGTCGTTTAACAAAAGAGCAATGGAAGCGCGAGATCTAGGTTCGTTTTTAGAAAGCACAGCTGCTGCTCCTGCGTCGTCTCCGAGTCCGTGTGCGTCAGTGACGGCAGTCTGAGATCCCCAAACAGCCGCTCCAAATATAACGCGTGCCAGACTGTGCCCGGTATGCGGCGTAGTGGTGGAAACCGAACCCCATCTCGGCTGCTGCACCTTCATCCTGGCAGACAGACACATAGCATCTCTGTACACAGATCTTTGCGCTATTCTGCAGCGCGCGCGCGTCTATGTGTATGTGCACGCAACTTTTCCACAAGCTTTAGTTTACACACTGCCTTCACAAGAATTACTATGGTAACCATAACGTTTGCTAAAAAATACTATATTAAATCGAGTTTGCTTAATATTGACGACTGCTCTCATAATTTATTTTGGCACATTATTTGAAGAAGGACAGTTCAATTAAGCAATATTTAAGCACTGCTACATTCTCGTTACTGTTGCTTTAAACAGCAGTTCTGTAAACAAGTAACTTAATTTTGAATAACTTACGTTTCTGACCTGTAAGTTTGTATATTTCCTCTCTACGAAAAAAAAATAGTTCCACTTGAAGCCAAAGCATCACGTTCTGAGTGTCGCCAAGCAAACAACGGACTGAAAGGCGAACTGGAAATTTGTAAATGAATGGAACGGAGCGATTTTCCTTCTCTGCTCATAGAGTTCTGTAATTACTCCGCTGAAACTCCACTCCGGGTTTTTATTGCTTCGAATGATCCATTATTATAATTATTAAAAATAATAAATGGATATTTTCATATATTTTTGGGTAATTTTGTGATTATATGCATTAAAATAATATACGCCAAAGCATGATAGCACAATAATAAAAATAATTAGGCCTACCCATATTTATTTAGAATCATTTATTTACACTGTTAAAAATAAAGGTTTCAAAAAGGCGTATTCGGTGATGTCGTAGAACCCTTTTTGTTTCCCCAAAGAACCTTTCGGTAAACAGTTCTTACAGGAAACAATTTTTTTCTTGGTGTAAAAGAATATTTTGTGCAATGGAAAGGTTCTGTGGATGTTCTTGAAATGTCAATAAAGAACCTTTATTTGTGTATAATACTTATGCAGAAACTATGGTTACCAAGTAAATTTATGTAAGGATTGATCAGTGGCCAAAAACCTAGACCAATGTGTTGCTGCCCATCAGATGTTAGATGTCTATCACACAATTATTTAGCATCTAAGTTTTAGGCCACCTGTTTGATAACCCAGAGAAGACCTTGACAAAGATGCCAAGAGCTACTGCGGTGTCTGCGTGTGTGGAGGCGTATGGCTTAACGCTGGTGAAAGTGAGTCAGTGACTCAGTGGTCAGACATGAAGACGAGTTCAAACACGATGAGAGTGATGACATAAGAATGAAGGATGCACTCTATCCAAACAGAGCTTGTGTGTATGTGTTCTTTCCATTTAGGGAGTCGTCATTATGGGAATATAATTTACAGCACCTGCCCCTGCTATGAAAGAAGTTAAACATAATGCATGCATAGAAATCCACGTTTGCAAACTGACTCGTCGCTGCAGATCTCTTACACGCATTGGTATTTTTGTCCAAATCAGCATAGTGTATGCTGCTGGAGAGACCTCTGCTTCTCAACTGGTTTTGATTCAGTGCTTTCCATTAAACACAAACACTGACAGAGCACAGAAACGTTTATCATACAGAATTAAACAAAAATGTCTTTAAGATCAATCATAAATGCATTAATATTACTATAAATTTCATAGGCCCAAAATATGCGAAAAATGGCTTTTTAATTTACTTGGTTTTTATAGTTTGAGCATTTCAGTTTTTAATTATGAATTGAATTTCGATGGTTTCAGCTAATAATTCACCAAACAACACATCAAACAAACCATGTTTGTCCTTGTTGAAAGCGTATATTTCCATTTACCTTGTGTAGTTTTGTTTATTATGTTAAAATCTGTCTATGTTGGCATCTGTCTAGTTTTCTTTCAAATGACAGATGAATTTGCACCAAAATGTCATTTCATACACTACATGTAAATCAACATGAAAACAACTGGGAGTAATTTTCTCCGCACTTTTAAACACTGATAAGCCTATTTATTTTGCTGTTGCAACTACACAATTTGTGACTATAATAACTTTATTTTACCTTGAGCACAGGCAAGTCAGTTCATGAATGAAGAAAAAAATATAAGATATCTCATTACTATTGATACTTAGTTGGAGGCTTAATAGGTTTAATCACTGATTTGAGCTTTTTTGACACTGACTGTCAGCTGAATATTTAAGTAAACCTTGCATAGTGCTCAGAGTAAATAAATGTTTACAGATCTGAAAGGATTTTTGTTCTGAGTAAAAACATCACACAGAGATGTTTTTTTTTCTCTCCTTTACCAAATAAGAATCTGTCTAGCCATCTGTACTGGCAAGAGAAGAGAAGGACAGATCGAGAAAAAAAGAGAAAAGAAGACATCTTGTTTTGGTAGTAATTGGCTTGGATGGTCATGGGGCATATGGTGGCCTATGACTGATATGACCTTAGAATCTGAAAATTTCAAGATGTCAGAAACAGGAGAATCTGAACATATCCCAGAATGCACTACGGAGGAGACTTCACCTCCTTGTTGTACCACAGACTCGGAAGACTGTCAAAAATCCAGCCAGGTGATAATATAGATTCAACAACTTCCATCAATTCACTCACCTTGTTTCATTTCCTCCTATCATTTTCTTTTTATCCTGTTTAATTTTTTTTTCTCTTTGAGCAGCCAAAATCAGATGATAACCACGGACAACTCAAAAAGAAACTGAAGGTAGGATTGCAACTGAATCTAATCATTAAAGCACCCTCCCTATAGAGCATTCATTTCATTTATGAGTTTATTTTCCTTTCTAGCTTGCCAGACGTTTATGTTAGATTGATGTGGCTATACTCGGCAGAATATTGCTTTCTGAATCATTCTCTGTCTTCAGTGGGTAAATGCCGTTTGCTACTGACTGCTTAACCTCAACGGTTATGTGTCTCAGTCCAAATACCATTAGTAAGCATTGCATTCACTCCCCTGATAGTACAAAGTTACCCAACTCCATAATATAAATCACATCAGCAGCTTTTAGACAGTCTGGGACCAGGTCCAAATAGTTTAAAAATAGCATAGTTACACTTTTCACCCTGTAGTGTTGATCCAATGATCTAGAAATGCAATACAATTTAAACCATTCCTAGCTGCTACATTTACAAAATGAAACTTGTGACGTATTTAAAATCATTTTTATAAATAACAATGCCTTATCAGGTTAGTATTTAAACTACCATACAAAAAAGATAATATATAAGAATACTCTTTTTTTTTTTTGTGTCCAATATACTGTATAATATTGTTGAAATAACAAAAGTAGCAATAATGTACACTGAGAACGCTCTTCTCTAGAAAAAATCTATTTCTTTTCAATAATGGGGTTATTGAATGAATGTGTTTGTGTGTTACAGGCTAAAGGAAAATTAGTTCGGAGCACCGCTGTGTGTGATGAGTCTTTATCCACTGAGGAGAACAGCAAGGTAAGAATCATTCATAAACTAAAGACACATTTACAATCTTGCATTCACCATTAAAGTTAATTTACATAGTCTAGTAGATGGATAGGACATACGTAAGTAAATCAAAACTGTAACCACTGATTTGGTAAGTGTTTAAACGATAAGTTTTCCAATGGTATTTTCTTAAATCATTATATTTAGTCCCCCAATCCTGAATATGCAGTTACATCTATTACATGCTTGAAGTGAATCATAGAGTTTGTGAAGGAATTCTGTTCTGTCTGGTCCTAGGAAAAGGAGAGCAAGACCACTGTATCTAGTAACCATGGTGACAGTCCTGCGTGCAATGAGGAGGAAGAGGAGACAAGCATCACATCGAAAAAATTAAGTTTATCTAAAGGTAGTTTGCATTGCTTGTAGGTATTTGTATATCATATTTGCGCACAATATATGCACATGAAATGCATTTTAACTAGGGCTGTGAAAAATATTGCATAAATTTCTGAAATTAATGTGGGATGTTAAGTGTTAAAAGTAAGGCTTTTTAAAAATAAGCTTCAGAATGAGCAGATTTTTAATTTAAAATATACTTCCTTTGTATTGATTTTAAATTTAATTTGAGAATATATACTACTGTTCAAAAGTTTGAAGCATTAAGATTTTGAATGCTTTTGAACCAATGCTGTATTTATTTGATCACAGCAATATTGTGAGTAATAATATTATTACAATTTAAGAGAACTATTCTATTATAATATATACTTAAAATGTAATGTGTTACTTAAGTCTTCAGTGTCACATGATCCTTCAGAAATCATTCTAATGTGCTGAATTGGTGCTCAAGAAACATTTCTAATTATGTTGTGTTGAAAATATTTTGAAATAGAAGTCTTTTGAAACTTTCTGAATGTCTTGACTGTTACATATGATACATTTAATGCATCCCCGCTGAATAAAAGTATTAATTTATTTCAAAATAAAATATTTTTAATTACCCCAGACCATTGAACAAGAAGTGCATATTTTATACAGCTTTTAATATTACTTGCTTCCTATACTTTGCATATAAAAAATATAATTCTATGCATGTGTGTATCTTTTAGATCCCAGTCTGGAGTACACCGACTCCACAGGCATTGATCTGGAGGAGTTTTTAATCACTACTTTGAAAAGCAGTCCCAGGTGGGTAAAAGTTGGAAAATATCCCTTTATTCTCCTCCTTCCATTTGTGCTGAATCAGTTTATTTTTGGATTGCAGGGACAGACTGATGCTTCTAAAACTCGAGCAAGACATGACTGACTTTATGACAGACAACAGGTATCGTTCCATGCATGTCTTTCATGCTTTTGAGATAGACGTGTTTGTAATGTGATTATAATGTGTCTCTTTTTCTCTCTCTATAGTTCCTATAAAAAGTTCCCTCAGATGTCCTCGTATCACAGGATGCTGGTCCACAGGGTTGCAGCTTATTTTGGTCTGGAACACAACGTGGATCACAGTGGAAAAGCGGTTATCATCAACAAAACCTGCAATTCCAGAATGTATGTGTCTGTTACAGAAATTATATATGTACATTTGATGAAGGAATGAATGCGAGTATAACAATGAATTTCAGACCAGAAAATCGGTTTGCTGAACATGTTCAGGAAAAGAAAACCGAGGAAAGAAGATCAATACTGAAGAGAGACAATAGTCAGGAGAAAGAAGACAGTCAGGTTTGGACAAATACACACTTCCCTGACCCCTAACATTACCACTAGGGTACAAAAGAGCTAACAATTGCTCCTCTAATAGCTCTGATCTTTCCGGCTACTTAATTTGTGTCTGCACGTCTCCTGTGGTTTTTTTTTATAGCTGAGGGTTCCATCTCTCAAAGAACAAATGAGGAGCAAGTCAATAGAAGAGAGAGAGGAGGAGTACCAGAGAGTCAGAGAACGCATATTCTCACAGGATGTAAGAAAACACCTACTTAAAATGCACATACAGTAGTACATTAAAGCTTGGCCTCTGATTTTGTGCTCTTTTATTTTTCAGTCCACTTGTCTTTCTCAGAGTGTTTATATTGAGACCAGGTAAAAAATGTTTTATAAATATTTAAGTAAATGTTATATTCTTTATATAAATATGTTTCAAAATAAATATAATATTATTTTATATAATGAGATATTTTAATATGATTTATTATATAATATGATAACACTTTGTTAGTCAACTTTAGACATTCAACTAACTCTACGTAACCTTGCAACTACACTGCAATGTTTGCTTACTGCTAATGTAATATCTGCTAAAATAAAAACAAAATTTGTAAATAAAAAAAAAAAATCTGTAGTTTGTAAACCATGTAATTGGTTTAAATATAAATATGTAATTTTACCAGTATAATTATTATAAATCAGTGAGCTGCGCTTCAACTACTCTCTTCTTTTATTTCTGATTAAATTTTTTTGTATCTGTTTGCAGAGGTCTAGATGACGGCAGTATTCTCAGTGAGACCCAGAAAAGACGGCAGCTATTTAGGTGAGAGATTTTTGATTTTTCTCCATCATCCGACCTCTGAAGATATGTCAGAACAGAGAGTGTTCTCTGATAGTCTAAGCTTTTCTGATTGGCTAAAAAAAAGGGCTGCTCACAAACACAGGTGTTATTTCTCATGACACCTATTTCAGGAATAAATAGGTGTCGTGAGACCCCACCCCCCACACGCACACACACACACAACACAAATATTGCTTCTCTTCTCGTCTTTGTGCTAAGAAAATGTGAAAACTGAAAGCAACTTACATTTTGAAATCTATTTCATATGAAAGGGAGGTCTTCTAGCAAAAAGTAGGCACAAAACATGTTTCTGCCGTCCCAACAGGGGTAACAGGGATGGTTCGGGTCGGCTGTCCGGCAGCAGGCAGAGCAGCTTTGAGCTGGACTCTCATTGGAATGACCCTCGACCTTGGAGCAGCACAGATTCTGACAGCCCGACATGGACCTCTAAATCTGCACACACTCGTTCAGACAGCAACTTCAAACTCTGCAAACCAGGTGCAAAAATAACACCAGCCATCATGTCCCTGTCAGAAAAAAAGTAAAAAATGCTACAAAGACAATCTGGGTGTTAACCCTGAGAGCTAGTTATTTAGAGTGGGGTTTAGAAGTCTAATGAAAAAGCTTTTAATTTATACTCTTCTCAAATTTAACACAAATCAAAATCAAATGATATTTATTAGCATTAAATTGAAATGTTTTACAGAATATTACAATTTAAGAGAACTATTCTATTATAATATATACTTAAAATGTAATGTGTTACTTAAGTCTTCAGTGTCACATGATCCTTCAGAAATCATTCTAATGTGCTGAATTGGTGCTCAAGAAACATTTCTAATTATGTTGTGTTGAAAATATTTTGAAATAGAAGTCTTTTGAAACTTTCTGAATGTCTTGACTGTTACATATGATACATTTAATGCATCCCCGCTGAATAAAAGTATTAATTTATTTCAAAATAAAATATTTTTAATTACCCCAGACCATTGAACAAGAAGTGCATATTTTATACAGCTTTTAATATTATGTGCAAATACTTGCAATTAATTGCAGAAAATTGTGATTGAGATATATATATATAACCTTGGAGCAGCACAGATTCTGACAGCCCGACATGGACCTCTAAATCTGCACACACTCGTTCAGACAGCAACTCCAAACTCTGCAAACCAGGTGCAAAAATAACACCAGCCATCATGTCCCTGTCAGAAAAAAAGTAAAAAATGCTACAAAGACAATCTGGGTGTTAACCCTGAGAGCTAGTTATTTAGAGTGGGGTTTAGAAGTCTAATGAAAAAGCTTTTAATTTATACTCTTCTCAAATTTAACACAAATCAAAATCAAATGATATTTATTAGCATTAAATTGAAATGTTTTACAGAATGTAAAAAAAAAATACACAAAATGCTTTTTTGTTTTAATGACAGTGGCACTCGAGTTGCATGAAATCCAACCTGAGGCTGCTCTCCAGCATGATTTGAGTCACATGATCAATGTCACAATTATCCTTATTTGATTAGTGACCTAGAAATAGTGCAGAATCCCTCATAATGTTTCTGACCTGCCATTGTTTCTGTCTGATCGATCTAACAGTGTCCGACTCAGCTCTGTCATACGCTCCACCCAACAACAGCCCTGCTTACATTATCGTGCCTGCTGAGTCATCAATACCTCCTGGGAGCATCTTATTGAATCCACATACAGGTACACACACATACACTCTCCCACACAACAGTACACACTCACAATTCCCTGAGTAGAAGCTGACTCATTGGTTCAAAATGACTGTGGCTACACACCACATAATCTTTTTCATCCAACTATGGATATGTTCTTTAGGGCAGCCATTTCTAAATCCTGATGGAACTCCAGCTGTTTACAACCCACCAGTAAGTCAGAAGCCGTGTAATCAGCTTAATCCAGTACAGTCACAAGCCCCGCCCCCTCCACCTCAGCAGCAGCCAGTAGCAAGCCATGGTGTCCCACAGGTAAATAAAACATATAATGGAGACTAGTGGTGCGTAATATATCAATACCATTTTGCTTATCTGATTTTTAAATGTAATCTTTAGCAAATATAATTTCTCATTCTGCACATTATAAAGAGTCCGTATTACAGAAACATACAGTTTCTATTCCTGTAGAACAGATGCTAAAATATTGATTTTAGCTAGGATTTTATTTTCCATCTTTATCAACAATATTCACAATCTGCCCTCTAATTTCTGGTTTAGGTTCAATACTCCTCTGTGACATACCTTCCACCTCAGCAGTTAAACATCTCTACCTCCCAGCAACACCCAATAGAACAGACTGTGAGTGAGACTAAGTATTAATATTATCTAGTTATCTAATATTATTTATATTATGACTTGTATAAAATATCTAGTATATAGACCACCATTCAAAAGTTCATCTAAAGTGACAGTGAAGCCATTTATAATGTTGTAAAAGATTTCTGTTTTTAATAAACAATGTTATTTTGATCTTTCTATTCATTAAAGATTCCTGAAAATAATGATGCTGAAAATTCAGCTTTGCCATCACAGGAATAAATTATATTCTAAAATATAATATAAAACAGTTATTTAAATTGTAATATTTCACAATATTACAGTTTTTACTGTATTTTTGATCAAATAAATGCAGCCCTAATGAGCATAAGAAACTTCTTTTAAAAACATAAAAAAAAAAAAACTTGCACATGACAAGCCTATTTTTGATTCTTAGAGGGAAGACATTACAGCTAAGTTTGGTCACATGACCTTGAGTCGCCAGTCTTCATCAGGGGATCTTCCAGATATGTCCTCTTTCTACATGCAAGGAGTTCCACCCACACACAGCTATGCTCCGCCCCACCACAGTTACGCTCCGTCTCACCATTCAGACAGTTACATAACCCCTGGAATGACACTGGCTCCTCCCACAGCCCCGGCCCCTCTGAGTCAGCAGAGCAGCCAGGTACTTCATCATTAATGAGTAATGAGATACGATGTAATGTCATACTGTATGTCTAATTATGAGTCAACTCTGGTCTCCCCTCTTAGGTTTCAGTGTACAGTTACCCTGTTCAGTGTCCCAGTGCATCTCAACAATACACAGCAGCCAGTTACAACACACAAACAGGTACACATGAAGCCCCTCTGGATCCCTTACGCCTGAGTCTCACAGTAGTAGGGGAGGGGGCCGTTACACTGTAAGAGATGGTGGCACTGGTCTCACAGTGAACCGGTCTCTTTTCCTGCTATTCACTTCAGCTCTCATATGATTGGTTCAAGTGTTGTTTGTTCATGCATAAAAATACATGAATAAATAACCTTTAGCATATGTGGTATTACTTTTTCATTTCGAGTCCATTGTCACTATACAATTAATAAAATCTCACACATACTTGTCCATATATTTTTTTAACAGTATACCCGCCTGTCATGTCAAACCAACAAGGCTGCCCTGGCATGATGGGAAGTCAGATTCTACCCCAAACACAGCAAGGCATTGTGGGACCTTACCCATCCGTATCCTCCTATCAGGTACTGATGCAAAAAAAAAAAAAAACTCCAGGAAATGTCATTCTGAATTATAAAATGTATGTATATGTGCTTTTTCTCTTGTAACAAGGTACCACAGCAGCAGCAGCAACAACAACAGTCCTATCCTGCAATGCTGGTGTCAGGACAAGGTGGGCAGACACAGTGTTTGGTGCCCCCTGCTGGAGTTAAAGTATACTGCAGCTCTTTGGCCTCTTCTTCCCCTCCACCACTCAGTATGATGGGGGTCTCCTTCCAGTCAAGTAGCTGCAAAAATGGCTGTAGCGTTAATCAGAACCAGTGCTGGTACTAAAAGACACTGTTCACATATAGTGTTATTATGAATTCATCATATGCATTCAGTATTTGTAGCCACACAATTGTTCTCTACAGTCTGTAGCACTCGAGTCTGATGGTAGAATCCTTCAGATTCAACCTTTTCTACTTTGTCAAAAACACGTTTCGAATTTTACTTTTACATGGACATCGATAGCATCATGTTTAAATTGCGATTAGAGCATAAATTATACTATTTATATTATTACTTGTGTTTTGCTTAATATGGATAAAATGTTATATTTGAATGGTATGTAATACTATATTTATCTTGTTTATAGAGGGCTATATTACATAAATTGGGAATGAAACTAGATTCAGTGTTTTCCGTTATCAAAACAGTATGTCAACCGTTTTAAAATAAATTTCGGTTTTTGTTTGTTTGTTTTACAGAATTTTATTAGGATGTAACATTTGACCAGACTGGACAATATCTAAGTGGCATTTCTTAAATATATGGCCTTTTAAATGGTAATCTGTTTGATGTCTTCTTGTATGTTTTACTCGCATTCATTATGGGGTCAGCTGATGTTCTCATAGGCGTTTTATTGGGATGTTGATTTTACATTGACGTTGGCCTTTTCAGACATTCAGGGAAATGTAACCGCTTACGATTAAGATATAGATTTGATAAGAACTCACTATAACGCCCTCTGTTGCTTATAAGAGAGCAGTACAATAACAAAGCATTCATTTAAAATTAATCGTGAATCATTCAGACAGAATGAATTGTTTTATTGAAAAGATCCGAATCAGAACGATTCATCCGCAAATCGGACATCGCTATTTATCACGTGAATTAAGGATCGTAGAGAAGTCGCTAGGCAGCAGCAGTGAAATTTTACTGATAAAACCTTGCCTGACAATGAAGGTACCTTCGATCATCATTATCCATATTTCGGCAGACATGTGTTTTCTATCAACTGTTCACAGCTGGACTAGAACTGAAATTGTTTGCGATTTAGTTTGATTCATTCGGACAGCCAAAATTTCCCTATTGTGTCCCACAGATGAAAAAGTCAGGTGTGGAACAACACGAGGGTGAGTAAACGTGGACATAACTTTATTTGG